GGTGATGGGGATCTCTCATCCACCATGGCACACCGGACGGCCATGCCAGAACCATGCCAGAACGATGAAGCATAGTTTCCTACTTGTGATATCTGCTGCATAGCAGCAGTGTGGCCTCTGGCACTGCTACACATCTTCCTCCCGTAACCCCCAGTCCTCATCCCTCAAGCTGGAGAAGCAGTATCTCCGCTCCAGGAACAGCTGGAGGGGGCTTTGCTCTGTCAGAGATCAAACCGGCTGATGTGGGAGTGGATCAGGACAGAGAAAGGGGCTTTGCTGCTTCCTCCACTTGCAAATCTATCTGGTTCCTTCCCTAAAGCTGGAGCAGTATCACAACCTTGGCACTGTTATGATCCTAGTTCTGGTATCTGTTGCCCTAAAGGAGTCAAATTGAAGGCAGGGTACATCTAACCTGCAAGGCCCCCTGAAGTCCGAGGACTCATGCAGACATAAAAGAACATGAGAAATGCAGAAGCCAGCAATAAGCAAGTGCTGCTAAAAAGACTTAAGAAGTAACAGCTGAACAGTAAAGTCAGACAGAATCAGAGCAGAAATAAAGCAATATTTTGAGCTTGAGTTTTTTTTTCCTCCCTTCTTACTGGAGAAGGTGATTCAGCATTGGGACAAGCTAGAAACAACAGGAAGTGGAGCACTGCCCATCCCTCAGGCTGCCTCTGTACAACATCTGCTTTTGGTCCCCCCCTACCGCCGTCCCCAGTCACCTCTACCAGGCACAAGTCGTTGAATTTGATACAGGAAGGACCGGGTGAGAATGTAATAGCCTGTGCTCTTACGCAGAGATCTCTTGATGTCAGACTGAAAGATCTCACCCTCCTTCCTTTCTTCAAGCACCCAAAGGTGCCTCCTCCTCCAAACACATCTGGGATCATCCCTTGGACTGCAAGGGGACTTCTTCTTGAGCAATGTCAGTCAGAGCCTTGAAAAGGGAAAAATTATGTAAAAAGCTTCCTATAGCACGCAATCGCCTTTCATTAGGAAATAGAGTCTTTCAGATGGAGGAGCTGTTTATTAACCACTTAGCAGACTGCAAGTTCACACACACATCCCTCTGACCCCTGCTAGCAGCTGAAAAACGCCAGCTCTCTGGAGGTCAGTGCCATTTGCCTCCTCAGTCTCCCTGGAAAGACTTACCACTGGAGTGGCCCCACAACATGTTCAGCTGAGGTTGCCGGACACTGTGGATGCAGAGAAATATAGGGCCTTACCATCTTCCACTCTGGCTCCTTCAGATACTCTCCCCTCTCTCCACCCCACATCCACACCAGCAGAGTCATCCTCAGTTCTCCCAGTGTGGCTAAAATCCGTACAGCTCCCCTAAGAGCAGCAATAACCGAACTTTACATGCAGACAAGTAGCCTCCAGCATTTACTGGTGTGCCAGTCTAGACATACTATGACCGGAGTTAGATGAAACAATAGTCAGAGAGCCCCACTGCTTACTCCCGCCTTCTCCATACCAAAAAATGTATGATGTGCAAAAGTCAGCACAGCCACTACTAACAATACACAGTTCCCAGAAGAGACAACAGGGGAAAATCAGCTCAGAAGATGCATGACTGATGCTGAGGCCAGGCTAGATCTCCTGGACTGCTGTGGACTGATACTAGTGCAACCAAGTCCCTGAGCGACCAAGTCCTCTGAAGGAACACATAACTACCGGCACCAAGCTGAGATCTCGTGAGATTTGACAAGGTGCTCAGCATATCTGCCCAGATGCACGAGGGACTGGAGATGCTGAAAGATCACTGCTCCAGTTAGACCCCATAACTATTCACCACGGCAGTGCCTGTAAACTCTACCTGACAGCATGCTTGGCACCAGTTTAATACACTCCTGCAACGCAGGTACCTTGCCTTCGGCCATGTGCCTGCAAGTCTGGAGTAAGACAACTGAAGGCAGATAACAGACAGGTCACCACAGACGCAAAGAGAATAGGGGACAGTCCACGTGCTGAAGCTGCACCTCATGGCCAGAGGAGAACGGGCTGCATTATGTGGGTTAATGGGGAGCAGAGCCCCCCGTAAAGCCAGACCTGGCAAGGAAAGCTAATGTAGAGTAAAGTAACAAAGGGTATGAAGTCAGTGCACACTTAAGCACACAAATCCACATGTGGCTGCTTTCCCTCAAGGAGCAATGACTTTCCTGAGCGCCAGTGAGGTTGGCAAATCCACCCAGGCCTCCAGTAGGCACAATGGGGGATTCTGCCATTGACTTCAGTACAAACAAATTCAGCCTAGCACCAAAATAACCAAAATAACTCAGTGGCTATTTAGGAACTGAGTTATTTCAGCACATGCTGGTGTGTGGGTGTTCCTACTGCAGAACAAGAAAGTCTTATTTCAATACAGCCATTGAGTTTGGTACAGTCCATGCACAGAACTGTACTGACACAATTAAAAGTGGGAACTGCAAACGAAGGAGTTGATTTCTGCTTTTGGTGCCCAGTTAGATGAACTCTTAGTGGTTTTCTAATTCAAATGTGCTTGTTTATGTCATCTTTCCTCCCACGTTGTATGCATTGATTCCTGGTCACAGGATGGCTGAATCCTCAGTAAGTCACACGTAACCAGACTGGGGGTGGCCCAGGAAAGAAAACCTGCAGAATCTTGCAGAAAATGTAAAAAGGATCTGACTGCTCCAGAAGGGACTTGTAGCACTGTTGCTTTTTCTAGCTTTTTTTTCATTAGTATACAAAAACCAAACGATACCAGACAAGCAGAACTCCAAATAACCTCAAGGCAGTCATCATTTTAAATATGACACTTCTGTCTGTAAATTGTTTGCCTCTTATTTTAACTAGTAACTTCTAAAATTCAAGTAATTGATCTCAGTTTGCTTTCCCTTGAGCTAAAAGAAAAAGAAGCAGTTTTTAGCTTGCTTCTTTTCTGTATTTGATAATGATCTCTGTAAAGTGCCTTTCTTCTGCTATCGTGAATATTTCACGGAGCTAAAGAGGAGAGAAAATATTGCATACTGAAAAATGCTATGGGACAGAAATGACATAAATATGGAAGCTGGACACAGGGAGGCAACTGTATGTGTAGAAAACAACCAGATTTTAGACAACATGAATTTCACTTTAATCTACTTCTTTAGTCAATCACAAGGGGCAAACCTGCAGTTGGTGTTCATCATCCTCACCAATGGGCCTTCACTGAGAGTAGGAGACAGACAGCACTAGTTTACACCAGTTCAGGATCTGTACTCCAGACCTACGACCACCTGCAGGACCTTTCGAAAATGACAGTTGTCCCATATTAAGGGAATAGATCTACAGACTGCTAAGGGTATTGCATTTCCAAAAAACTCACCTGATCAGGCTGTGGCGAGCACCTCTCAAGGTAGGGTTCCAGATCTGAAACCCCCCCCTCAAACCATTGTGAGAGGCCATTACCATGACTGTGACCCGGCTTACCCTGACCTGATGAGAACTCTACGTGGAACGATGCTGAGATCACGCACGGGATTAAACTCAAGTAAGCACAGAAATGTCTGCTGACTCAAGACACACAGAAGTCCTCTTTCAAAAACCAGAAAGCCCTGAAATGAGCCAGATTTTCCAGTCCAATACTAGAAAGTGAACCCAATGTAAAATGCAGTCCTCTCTCTGTTAGGAGCCATGGTTATTCAAGTTGATTCAGTGCTGTACTTTTTACAGAAAATTCCCAACGTTAAAATAAGTTGGCATATATTATTTGTGTGAAAAACAAAGGTCTTAAAGGTCTTAAGGAACAAAATACTGATTGCAGTCTTCTGGGATTACTGAATGCATTTGATAAACTTCACGTGCTATTCTAGCAATAACAAACGCGCACACAAACCTAATTCCTTTTCAGTCTTAGATTACTCAGACAAGTTAAGTCTTTTTCAGTTTTAGGAAAAAAACATTAAAGTGATGGAACAGCCCCTATAAAAGGGAAAATTACATTTCATTTAGTCCATGCTGATAAAATTCCACTAACATTTCAGTCAAATCAGTCTTTTGAATTTCAAGGTCTAACTTTAAAGGCCCCATCGATGGATTGCTGCTGTAATCAGAACCCATTAGTACGTTGTTAAAACTACAGGAATTACTCAATAACGTATCTTAGGAAATAGGAGCCAATTTCTAAAGAAGAGCAGAAATCAAGCAGGAAAATAAATAACCCTCCCAGTACCAAATCGTTTATATTTTAGTTCTGTTACTACTGAATTATTCCCAGGGTGGAAAATATTTCTAAGAGTAGACACTAAAGATGCCCCTTGAGCAATTCAGCCAGATTCCCCAGGACTTTTAGTGACTGCGGGTGTGAAATAGGCACTTCTTGCAGAACAGAGCAGCTCTCCTATCTTTCCTAGCCACAGCACAGCCTCAGAAGGATTTCACTGAAGTACTGTGTGCCAGTTGTACACAGTTTCATGCCTTGATTTTGCTGAACACAAGGATACTCCTGAGAGGGACAGATCAGCCAAAATAGGTTTGCTCTAAAATAAAGCATTAATTTCATGGCAAAACAACAACATTGTTACGGTAAGCTAATCACACGTTACACCCGATCACAGAAGTGAAGTTAAACGGTCTCAGCTGAGAAACATGTAACCTCCAAGCGAGTTTGCCGGTTCACCCTAAGTTAAACTTCCAGCGGATCGGTGCTGGCTTGCAGCTCAGCCCCTCTGGACTAGGCAGGCTCTCAGCGACACCGAAGTGATTTGAACCAGCAAGGGACTGATCCTGAAGCCCAGACCCGATTCACGGCTCCGCATGCCCGGACGCTGCCTCCAAGATGCGTCCTACAGACCTGCCGGATCGGGGCCCCCAGGGGAGGTGGATGGGGCCGTTCCCCGATGGGGCAGGGGTTGAGGATTCCCGAAAGTGCAGCGCCCCTCGCCAAAGCAGAGGAAAAACATGCGCGGATGCCCCGGCAAAGCAAACTCAAACACACACGCACGCACAAAGCAGCCAGGGCGCGGAGGGGCCGCCGGGGGGACACTGTAACCCACCTGGGTTGAGGCTGCTCTGGAAGTAGAAAACGACCAAGAGGAAAGAGCCGAGGCAGGCGGCCAGCGCCACCCGCGGCGCCCGGCTC